GAAAACATACATAAGATATGATCATAAATCAAAGGTTACACAGCTAAGTCAGTGGAACTAGCACAAACCTTTGGAACAGGAAGTTCAACGCACTGGTTTTATCATCATTAAAAGATCAGAGCAACAGCACAGTGTACAACACACTTGTGGAAACAGCCTTATCAAGACAGAAGTTGAAGGGAAGACCAAGCAATTACAGATTCTGCCCAGAAATTTTGCATCACTACTATACTTTCCAACTTGCTAGTCCGAAGCACAACCCACAACAAGTAACTACCTGGTATCTCTGTTAGATCCCTTCAGAAAGGAAGGTGTGAGAAAACTAACACAATGTAAACCTCTTCAGGGTAGAGACGATCTACCTCTATGGCCCCAACCTTCCAAACACTTACCTGTGTGTAGCCTCATGACTTCAGTGGAACTACTAACTGGTGTAAAGTTAAGCACAAGTCTGTGTCTTTTCAGGACTCGGAGCTATGTTTGTGCAACACCTAACATAAAGGAGCCCTGATCCCAGCTGGGAGCTACCATAATATAAATACAAAATCTTAAATCTTTATTATAGGGTTCCACAGCTTTGTAAAGTTGATAATAAAAGCCAAAGAACACACAGATATAACATTTACAAAAGCTTTGATTGAACAACTAGTCTCAAAGATCTCATTCATTTACATTCTGATGAAGTTCCCTTTTTAGCATTGTTTTTATACTTGAAAGGAACAAGTATGATCAGAGAGAGGAGCTCTTAAATACAGACTCATTCATCTGGTTTTTCTCACTGTGATTCACCAATCACCTTCAAGAATAATTAGTAACTTCATCTAAATATATAGCAAGAGAGAAATACTCACGTATACATATCTATTCATTTCAGGATGCGGTTCAAAATTCCCCTCTGTTTTTAAACATCCCCCCCAAGAACTTTCTTCATCCTCCTTCACAGATCACCTCTCACTTTTTCTCTCCCTGCTCATACATTACAGATCTCACAATCACATCACCACTGGTGCAAGAACCTTCTTCTCTGCTGCATAGGCCATCTAAATAGCATTCCTGTAGTTTACAGTGTAGTTGTACCCGTGTTGGTCTCAGGATATTAGCGACAAGGTGGTCAGATAATATCTTATTGGACCAACTTCTGTTGGTGAAAGCGACAAGCTTTTGAGCCACAAGAACTCTGTGTGGCTCAAAAGCTTGTCTCTCTCACTTCCTGTAGCTGTCCATCTTATTCGGTCTCCTCACTGACTCTCCCTTTCAGATTAAAACATTTATTTCACTTGCTTTACCTGCTAGTTAAGTCCCTCTACTATTTCTTTTAAACTCTGAAATTCTGTTGATTTCTATTTAATAGTTTGTAAGATAAAGCTGCATTTTAACCTGGGTTTGAGTAGAGATTTGTATTGGGGGTGAAGAACATTTAAGTGCAGACGATGAGTTGGGGTAATTTCGGATTCTTATGCACAGAGAAGAACTGATGGTTTGCTACTGCTTTTTGTTTTGATTTTAGTTGGACTGATTTTTTTTTTTTAACATTATCTGTTTTAAGTTCTCTCTTGAGTAAAGGATACTCAGAGCTTGGGATAGGTAATCTGTTCCTAAAATGAAGCCACAAGTAGATAGACACATGCAGAGTTGAGACAACATCATCAGGTACCAAATGCCACTGGCAGCATTCTGTAGTGGTTTAATGAAAATTCAAAGCGCTACTTCTTAAAACTTAAAAAAATTTAAAAGAAACATCATAAAGTAACAAACTCCCATATAGGCAACAGTAAAAGTAATTCCTGCTAGGTTCAGAGTGCTGGCATCTTCAGTTCAACGTACAGGAAGCGTATATATAGCACCCTACATTTACAGGAACATAAGGGTAGTGAGAATATTTTTGAAGTGGGGAAGGGGATTTCACATTATTTGAGATAAAAAGAAAAAGAAAACCTTACACGTTACAGACTTTTCTACCATGAGGTTCTCTCTAACCATATAGCAATTTGATTTCCCAGGGGAAGCCCACAATTTAGCGAGCCTATTTAACCTAATCACAGGTCACTGTAAAACCAAATGAAAAACAACGCAAAGCAGCAATATGAGAAAGGATCATAATGAAGAACTGCCACATACACAAACAACTGCTCCTTTTTAGGCTTACAAATGAAAAAATTATAAGAAGGCTAACATATGCGTGCTCAATAAGAAATTTAACCTTTATTCTCTTCTTTCTCCTCAAATTGTATATAATGTTTATTTAAGCGGCCATCACAGAATAATTTTTGTAAAAACTTATGCACTGTACAAGATGCTTCTCCTCAATACCAGTGGAAGACCACCTGTTGTAGTCAAGTACACTACAGAGTATTGCTTCTTAGTATTCTAAATGACCTTACAATTTCAGTAATTTATGTGGGCATATGTTACTTTAAAGCAATTTTGTCTTGCTAATCCCTTTTGCTTGCTGCTACATCAGAAATCTGCCAGGCATTATCTTTTGACAAAAGCAGCACTGCACTTTTGTAAGAAAAATTCTCACAATGCACAGTAAATGTGTGTGTATTACTGGAATTTATTAAATACACAGATCACTAGGGCTTTCAAAAGCACCTCACGTATGACACGTCTCCCAGTGCAACACATGAAAGAAACAAGTGAATTCTGCTTACACTATTTATTCTGACGAGCCAATTAAAATCTAAAATGAAGTTCGTGTACTCTCTTGCATGTTGATAAAGACTGCAGAAATTGATTGCTTCTGAAATCTCACTATGGATTCTGAGGGGACGTGTCCTATAAAGCATCTTTACCATAGCTCATGCCCAAAGCAAAAAGGTTTCCAGGGTTGTGGGGTGGTGTTTGTTGTTTTTTTTAAATGTCACCCCTCTTCCTTTGTGTGCAATACTATTGCCCAGGTTAATGTTTGGTTGATTTGATGGCTAATCCGGCATCATGTGCAAACCATGAGACGCTCTTCCTCCCCCTTTTGCCCCTGGAGGGACTGTACCATCATTTGAATGATATTTCCCGATAATGTGCTCATCATGGCAGAAAATTTCCCAAAGAAAATGAATTTTACTTTCTTCACTGACAGCTTTGAGAAACTCAGTGGTTTAATTGGACCTATCTGCTGATGCGTGCTTGACAATGAGCATGCCCAGAAAAAAAAGAGACAGGTCTAGACCATCAGTTTTAAAGCAACACAAAGCTGGATAGTTTGCTCATTATCAACTCAGACAGATATTAGTTGGTTTAAGTGTTCAGATATTAAGATAATATCCCACAGCAGTTTTTGCTAAAGGCCCCATAAAACACCACCCATCAGTTTATCATAAATCTTTTCTTTTTTTAAACATTCAATATTGCTCAGCCGAGACTCTGCCAAATATTCTTTTTACATGTGTTAAGAGTCAGTTTCTCTGAACCAAAATTTTGCCAGCTCAGTCCCACTGTAGATTTACAGGGCATCATGCATTAGAAACATTTGTTCTCAGAACAGCTCCAGATACTTCTGCTGAGCAGGTTGTCCCCTTCCAAACACCATCACCATATGCCCTGCTAGTAATGACTTCCCAAGCAAAATACTCAGAGATTAGGGATAGAGAGGGTGAATTTAGGGCCCAAAGAGGTGGCAGTTTCTCTTAAGTGTAAAAGGATCGTCTTTAGGGTACAAAGAAGTTGGTTCTGATCATCAGCTACTTGTTACAACAGACTTTATAAACACACTGCTAAAGTGTGGGTGAGCAGAAAAATCCTGGTAGCCACAAGGCCACAAACTATGGGAGAAGGAGCCTGTGTTCTAAGAGATTTGGACTGGAAATCAGACAGGCTCTTTGGGAAACCTTCTGACAAAATAAGATCTTGATATGTGGGTGTAAACATTAAGAATGCTGTATTGATGTACGAGAGGGCCAGGGAAACATGTCTAGGATTTTAATTTACTGTAATCCTTGTTCAGATAGATACTAAAATGGCAGGAAATCCAAAGTATGAATAACCAAATACATTATTCAACGTGCTGTATTAAAAAATGTGGTAAAGTGAATGAGGACACTATTATTGCTCATATTTACTGAGAATATGATGAACTATTTTCTTTGATAAATGCCTTTTGATAGCGGTTTTCTCCTACCAACTCAAATTTTCCCATCACACACCCACAAAACAAAAATCAAAAGCCACACAAAGTACTAGTTTGTCATTGCCCCTCTGAGAATATTAAGTTTCCTGCTCTGCTTAATTTAGCTCAGACAAGACAAGCAGTATTTGCTCAGCAAATATTGTTTGTAATAAGTTTGACAAGCAATATTTTTGCCAACCTATTAACGGCAGGAAAATATGTACAGTCAATAAGAGATGAAGAATTTGTTCAATTATTTCAAAAATTGGGAATTACAACCAGGGGATTATTATCCATTTAAACATCTCTGTTTCCACAAAATGTTAAACATTGGCCATTTGCTAACCGTCTCCTGAGAAAGATAAAGTAACATCTTGGCAACACAAATACAAACTTTAAAGGCCTAGAAAAAAATGGTTTAAGTATTGACTCTACAATTCACAACAACATCAGGTTATCGTCAATATACTATGATGCACAAATATGTTGCATTCCTCCCATCGGATATTTGTCAGCCAATTAAAATCCTAAACAAACGTTTAACTTGCCCTGATACTTGATATTAGTTGAAATGGAAAGTATAGGATTACCCACAAATACTGGCCTACAGCAACTTATGAATAGACATACAAGTACTCAAGAAAGATACTGGTGTTCACTTGCCATCCCTTTGACCACATACATACACAGCTCCCCCTCCATTTAAATTCCTCTAGGCTGACATCAGGATTAATGCACACAGGTAATTTACAAGAAGAAAGTTAATTGGTATTTACAATGTGGAGCCTAGATTCAGCGCCTCTATAAAGGTCCCATGCTTCTTCAGGAGACAATACCACAGCTCTGGACCATGAAACACACAAATACAAGAGAACCCATCATTCTGATCTCTTACCTCCAAGGCTTCTAAGGTATTGAAGCTGGCTATAGCAAACCCATCAATTAAATCCTCTTCTTGGGAGCTCGATTCCCGTCTCCTGCGCCTCGGAGGTCTGACATTTCTGGCGGTGGACGCCTGGTTTGGGGGATTTGTACAGTTTTGGCTTGTATTTTCCTTGCCGGGGCTTTGCTCCTTTTCGGATGCCGAAGAAGGACTTTGATTTCGGGGATCCCTGGCATTAGCTTCCCTTCTCCTCACGCGGTCCCTTTGGGACCTTGATCTCCGGCTCTGCCTTATCTTCCCATCCATTTCCAAAACAGAAAAAGAAAAAGGGAAGGGGGAGATAAAAAAAAATCACCCCCCCTTCCTCACTCACCACTTCCCCTTCCCAACCCCCGAAGCCCTACAAATCCTCCTGTTCAGACCCTCCGATCCAGAGAGATTATAATCCACAGAGCAAGGCTGGGTAGTGGTGGTGGGAGGAGAGAGGGGGGAGATAAAAAAATTAAATCCACGGAATGACCTTGACAAAATCCCCCCTCCAAAAAAATAGGGTTAAAAAAAAATCTCAGCCCCTCGGATTCACACCGGCGGCGGCAACAGCAGAAGACGGAGATCCAGGGGAGCTCGACCCGGCTCGGGATAATCCAGCGGCGGCGGCTCTGCGCCCCCTCCCCCGGGGCAGCGACCGGCTCCGGCCCCCGATCCGAACCGCCAGCAGCCACGGGGGGCGGGGGGTTGCAACAATATCACTCGCTCCGCAACTTTGTTGCAATGAAGAGAGAGAGAAAATCCCGGTGCAGCCCCCGCCGCCGCCTGCAACCCCTCCTGCCGGGCACGGCTCCCCGCCCCCGGCACGGCTCCCCGACTGCCCCCGCCCGCCGCCGGAGCACGCACACCCCCCTCCCCAGCCCGGCCGCCCCCCAGCGCAGCCCCAGCCCCTGGAAGCGTCTCAGTCTGCGCTCCCCGGATTCCGCCCCATTCTCCCCGAGCTGGGACGATTAGCACCGCCCGGCCGGCCGCGCATGAGCAGGGCTGCCAGCTGCGCGTCAGTCGCCGGCGCAGGCCCGGCCGTGCCCCGCCTCCCCCGCCGGGAGCCCCCCGCCCCCCCCCAGCCCCGAACCCCGGGGACCGCCCCGCCCCCAGCCCCGCACCCCCGGAGTGCCCGGCTGCCCAGCCCAGAACCCCGGGGAGCTTCCCCGTCAGACCAGAACCCTGGGGACTGCCCCCCACTCCTCAGACCAGAACCCCGGGAACGCCCCGCCCCCAGCCCAGAACCCCGGGAACGCCCGCCTGCCCAGCCCAGAACCCCCGGGACCACCCCGCCCCCAACCCAGAACCTTGGGGGGGTTCCCCCCAGCCCAGAACCCCAGGGACCGCCCTGCCCCCAGCCCAGAACCCCCCGGGGTTTTTCCTCCAGCCAAGAATCCCGGGGACTGCCCTGCCCCCAGCCCAGAACCCCAGGAAGCTGCCCCCCCAGCCCAGAACCCCGGGACCGCCCACCTGCCCAGACCAAAGCTCCGGGGAGCTTCCCCCTCAGACCAGAACCCTGGAGACTGCCCCCCACTCCTCAGACCAGAACTCCAGGACCACCCTGCCCCCAGGGAGCTTCCCCCTCAGACCAGAACCCCGGGAGCTTCCCCTCCCACCCTTCAGTCAGAATCAGGAGACTTCCTCCTGCCACCCCCGCAGCCCATAACCTGGGAACTCTCCAGCCCTGAACCCTGGGAGCTTCCCCCCCCCAGCCCTGAACCCTGGAAACTCCCCAGCCCTGAACCCCAGGGACCTTCCCGCCTTGTCCAGAACCCCTAGGATCTTCCGCCAGCCCACAACCCTGAGAGCTTCCACCCACTACGCCTCATCCCAGAACCCAAGGGAGCTTCCCACCCTGCCCCTCAGCCCAGAACCCCAATGAATTCCCCAGCCCAGAAGCTCCCACCACTACCACCCAGCCCAAATCCTTGGGAGCTTGCTCCATACCCAGCTTTCTCCAGCCTCCCACAGCCTAGCACTGCAGGAGTTTCCCCCTCAAACCCTATACTTCTCAGCCTAGAACCCACCAGCTCCCACGTGCTCCTCTAGACCAGAACAGCAGAAGTTTCTCCCCAGCTCATCCCTCCTCCCGCAGCCTCATTCCTGCAGAGCTATATCTCTCCCCTGACCCTGTCTGTCCTCTGCTCCCCTACTTAGGATGCCTCCATGTGCTCCTTACAGTCTCCCCCCCACCCCCAGTGCTCCCCACTTGTTCTTTGTTCCCTCCACACGGTTCCTTCTGCCCACCTGCTCCCACCTTCCCCCTGTGCCCCTCACACTCTGCTTCACCTGTGGTCCAGTGCTCCGCTTCTTCACCTCTCACCCTAACTCCCCCATTTTGCTGTTCTCTTAACCCCCTAGCTCCTGCCCCATTGCTTGGCTGTTGTCTATAACCAAATCCCCTCTCCCTTATGTGCTGACCCATAGACCCCCTTTCCTCCATCTTGTAACCTCTTTGGTTACACCACACATACAGCTTTACCGCTGCTACCTCCAAGTTCCACCTGGGGCAACTCCTAGTCCCATTCCTAGGAGTAGTGGAATGAAATTATGAAAGGGAGACCAGAAGAGGAGTATCAGGAAAGACTTCATATCAGACAGGGGAAAAACCTGTGAGGAAGATCCCACACTAATGAGAAGAATGAGGCTGGTACCTGGATGTGGGACACCCCCTTGTAAGAGGCTGTGATTGGGGCCCATATTTCTCCCAGCTTTCCTCAAAAGTCCTCATATTCCATCCTGCCCTAAGCACAGTAATGAAACAAGCTAGAAGCAGTGTGTCAATTCTCAGAAGTGGCTGCTGGTGGTCATTCCCTCTCCCCCACTCCTCCCCCTGCACAAGGCTATTAACATATAGCCACAACCTTGCCCTGGCCTATTTAAATAACAAATACTACATAAAACGACTTTAAGGTCATCCTTTAAAAAAAAATTAGAAATGTTAAATAAAAGTAATTTAAAATAATGGGCAGAAGTTTTGTATTTAGTATTATGCTGCTTAATGCAAATAGGCATTTGTGCACTTCTATCATGCTTGTATTGGTGTCATCTGTGCCCTAATAAAAATCTTATAATCATTTATGTGCCAATTAAGCAAGGAAGATAGCTAAATCTAACAACTTCCTTTGGTAATTACAGGCTAGTGGAAGTTATCTGCTTTGGCTTTCCTAGACTGTACATTTCAGAAAGAGACTATTTCTCCCTCTTCTGTATCTTTTTAAAAAACTAAATCTGTAAAATTAGAGATCCTTGACATTTTAAGGCTTAAATTGAGGCCTGCAGAGTGGTTATCAATAAAGGATCTCCATTTGAACATAGCTAGTTAAGTACAGTAATGGATGAAGTTTAATAACTGTATTTGTTTTAAAAACACTTTTACAAACACTCCGTTTCCAGACCAGACCCTTTCATCAGAATCAAATCAGCTATTTTTACATATGCAATTCTGTGCCTCGCCCCTAGTTTAAAAAGCAATTTATATCTTGCTCTTGCAGAAGAGCATTGTCATGAAGAGATATAAGTAACAGGTGAATTTAACAGTTTGTCTGAGTAGTGGTGGTGACAATAATTCTATGGTTTTTAGAGCTACGATCATTAATATGCATTTCTAATTTGCTTCTGTTCACTTTTGCTGACCAGCAAGGATGGTGGAAATTGCCTGTACAGTTCCTTACATTAGTCCTTGTGACCATAGTCACCATGATCCTCATCTCAGTTACGTGTTTACTAGTATTAGCTTGATGCTGCAGCAGGTTTAACTTGAGTTTGTCTTCTCAGGAAAATTGTGGAGAATTGATTTAACATTAACTTTAACAATTCAGGAGTGGTCAAAAAAATTGCAAGAAAACCTATCTACCTTCTGTAATATGTTTATCATGTTTATGGGAAACCCCCAATTTATATGTTCATCTATTTTTGTTTATAGGTACAGCATAAGTACTGACTAATGAAATTAACAAAATCAAACATCAAGACACCTAATTGACATAATATCTATAGATCGATTGTGCCTTTTCCCCCTACCACGTCAATTTAACATTTTCAATAGGAGACATATCTACAGTGATTTTCCCGCAGTCACATAATGATATTCATCATATTATAACTGGGTGAATGATAATGGATCAGAGGGAATGAAAACAGATGGATGTTAAAACAGACAATTCTGCACCAGGATCCTGGAAGCTCTCCACTACAGCCAGTCTGTTCATTCAGTTTTATAATTGTATTAGACATTCCAACAATAGGGAGGCCTTCTTCATTAATTCTGAATTTACTGAAAAGAAACCTTTTGGGCTATAGCTCTTTTGGTACATAGACAACAAGAACCAAATTCACCATTGGTTTAAGGCGGTGAAACTCCATCAAATGGAGCTAATGTAGAAGATTTTAGAAGAAGGAAGACAGGGTCAATTAGGCAAGAAAAGAACCTTTGCGACTGCATTTTGGATAGACTGGAAACATTCAGATATCTTTGAGACAGAAACATCTGAAGCCTGGCTTTCACTGGGGAAATTTACACTGGTGCAGTATAGGCATAGCCTATGATAGATAAACCTGTTAACATCAGCAGCACATTTGGACTGATTTTCCATTTTCAGTAATCACAGGACACTAGGTGTGTAACACAAGCCACACGAGTCAATGGATACTGATCCATGCCATGTGACAAGTGTACAACCTGGCCTACGTCAGGTGACTAGGACAAGGAAAATAAGATCAAATATCTTAGCAGCTCTTTTTTATTACAATATTGATATTAACATTTTAATCATGTACTTATGGCTGCAGATTCTAAGGTTAAGTATCAGAGGGGTAGCCGTGTTAGTCTGAATCTGTAAAAAGCAACAGAGGGTCCTGTGGCACCTTTAAGACTAACAGAAGTATTGGGAGCATAAGCTTTCGTGGGTAAGAACCTCACTTCTTCAGATGCAAGTTTTGGTGGTAAGCCACCTTTGCACTCCCCTGTCCTGAGAATCTACTTGAGTCCTGGTGAGGTTGCTCGACTTTACACCCTCGGCTTCCTGGGGCTTATAGTCATAGCATATAGTACCCCAGCCACACCCTAACTTCCTACACAGTGGGACTAGGAGCAGAGCTTGAGTTTAAAGCCTATACACCCCCTTTTATGCTGTCAGAGAAGCATGAAGTGGCCTTGGTGTCATTGAGAATCTGGCCCCAAATCTGCAATTTCCCCTGCACGGTCTTTCTGTAACCTGCCCCCAACACTGCACAGTGGATCCATGTGGTCCCACTGTATTTAGAGATTGTTGTGTCCACCGGGGAGCTGGAATGGGGGGGATTTACCCTAACTGGTTTGGACAGATTAAATAAATACAAGACTGCATAAAGTAACGAAAAGACAATAGAAACTATAAGGTGCTACATTTTTGTATTCTTAGGATGTTAAATAAGCTGTTTTAGGTGACATTTTGTTTACTACCTATTATGCTTGTCCAAAAATGAGCTGGTTTTAACTGGTTATTACCTTTGCCCTTAATATGAACTGCCTTTATCGCTTACTTCACCCTGGTCTTTTCCAGTGAAAATACATAATCACTGTCAAAGTACAAAGAATCATTACAAATAATTAGTTGCTTCCAATATAGCAGCCCAGCCTCATAAATCTTCCATCTTTGGCTATGGTGTTGGAGAGAGTCCTTAACTGCTACACTTTCAAGACTCTTTTAATCGACATGAAATTGTATTCAGAATTAAATTTGTTTTAACAGTTCTAAATCATCCCAATAAATCAATTTCAGCCCACCTGCTTCTTAAGGCTTCAAATATGATTTTTACCTCTGGGAGAAAAGCATCCATTTACAATGGGT